ATGTAAGGCATAATGGCAGATACGTGAGAAGTAAAGAAAGTAGAGCGATTGTAACAGCAAGTTCAAAGGAGCAGAAGGAGGGACGAGATGGGAAGAATGAGAGGGCACGAGTAGTGGTATGCACAAGAGTAATCATAAGTTACTAAAAATGATCAGTGAGCACGATGAAGTAGCATAAAAACATGCACCTTTGCAGCCCTAATACCACCAACTCCTCATCTAGAGTCAACTCTACATGCACCGCATGCGCATGCTGTGAATATACCCAAGCATAGAATGGCTACACTGCGACTGTGATGGGTACATCATGGGTATGGGTATTTGCATGGGTCACAAAATTCTGACCCGTATCTGTACCTGGCAGTACCCATACCTGCAACCCACTGTGGGTTACCTGTACCCGTGCAGTTCTCTAATTGAGAATGTGGGGCTTGCCAGCTACAGGCAACAAACCAGGGATACAATATTTGCCTTACAGGGTTATTTCAGCAGCAGTAAGTGATGTATCATTATTGGACACTGGGACCATCACTAATGCATCTTTAGCCATGCCTAATGTATCTATCACTAATGCATCTCCATGCATTGCTGATGCATCAGTTCCACTTGGAAATGTCTGTGAAACCCCATCTGATCCTCTCTTACAAAACACCAATCCTTCCACTTTCAATCCATATCCTCTCACCACCAATCTTGACTTAATGTGTGCCTTCAAAGATTTGGACTTTACATTCTCTACAGCTGAACCTTCAACTTGGAGTGTTGATGTGTCTATTGACACTTCTCCTGACCTTGCACAGTCCACACATTTCAGTACAGACTCAATTATGTGACTACCAAATCCATGATTTCACATCCCCATTGATGAGTCTATTAACACTTCTCTTGACCTTGCACACTCCAACATGGCAGTGCCCCTCATAAACACTTCTCTGACCTTGCACACTCCAACACAGAAATGCCCCTCACCAATGGTGAGACTGCTGCCAGCAACCAAGACAAAAGTGTTATACCTCCAGCTCAAGCTCATCAGAAGTCTTGCCCAATTGGTGGTTAGCAAAGTCAAATGATGGATGCTGCTGCATCTGAGGGGATTACATCTTCATTGGAATTGTGTTGCATTCAATCCACAAGAGCAGGACAATGCAATTGATGACCCAACCCCACACATTGACTCATCAAAATGCAAGCACACCGAAGATGCAAGATCCACAAGTATGTATGTTCTGTTTGTGTTAGATTATTGCTGATTATGCTAATGGGTTGAATAGGAAAATATGGTGCTCATGATTGAGATGCTCGTGATTGAGACTCATGATTGATGAGACATACTTAATGTACATATTATTATTACCTTGCACATATTAAATAACATGTTTGCTAAAAATAATAAATCTACATGGTTTCTTGATAATATGACTGCTCAAGTGAAAATCAAAAGGTCATTACAAGGAAATCATACAGGGCTTCACATGAGGGACTTTGTGAATGAGGAATTGATCATGACTAATCATGAGGCACTATGAACTTGGTGAATGAAAAGTACAAGACTGGCATCATGTATCATATCCCATATATCCATGCTTCTCTTCCAGATCTCGGACCTTAGATCCAATCCAATCTGATATAAAGATCCACTTCTGATCTAATATATAATAAGCTTCTTAATCTATTTCCTGTTCATATAACATTAAACACAGCCTATTCAGTATTCCTTGTTCCTGGTATCTCGGTGATGCTTACTACTGGTTATGCTTACTGATCTGTTAACCTATTCTTCATTTCCAACTCACATTTGATAAACTTTGCTTATGCTTTGTACTCGGACCCTTGCTTATTGATCCTTCTGTTATTCACTTAGTATATAAACACTTGTATATGTCCTGTAGTACCTCAGTTCGAATATCAACTTAGTTTGTCCTCTTTCTGTCCTCCGGACTTGAGTCTAAATAACTCTTGTCAATCTCTGAGACTTAGGATCGACTCCTATAGTCTACCTTCTGTTTTTTTCTAGTTCAGACTTGTCTGGATTAGCCTTACACATATTTCTGATATCCAGAAGTCTTCTGGATAACCTACAATACTTGTCTAACCATTTGGACGCATTATCCTTAGTCTCTGAAATAAGGGACAGTACATGGGAAAGGGGCACAGCGTACAAGCTAAGACCAAAGTCCATTGGACCTATTCCTCCAAGAGTATGACCTTAACATCATGCATCATTATATGACTCATCAGTGCTATTATATATAATTTTGATTTGATGGCAAACTGCCTACCAAAAATAAAATAAGTAGTAGCTGGGTAGTGTGCTGGAATAGCAATAGGCCTACTGGAACGACTCTGAGTAGCTGGCCAAAGCCAGGCCTCCAGTGAGGAGTGAAATAGAGATGGAGATAAGCAAGGTACATCAAAAAGAAGTAAGGTACAGTTAAGTGATAAGGCACAGCAAGCCCAAAAGGGTCATACAAGGTAATGCATTACATTCTACATTAGGATGGTGGCTAATGCATACAGCTTCTAGCAATGTTGTTACATTAGAAAACTCTGCCTATCAGCCTATGATTGTGCATTAGAATGACATTATAGCCTGCACAGGTAGTATACCTCTATCTGTGATACCCTTACCTTTTAGCAGACCCACACAGACACCCATACCTCTGGCTACCCATGGGTGTGCAGTGAGTCAGTGGCACTCAGACAAAACAGAAAGAACAAGGCTGATAGTATGGGCAAGCTCTAGCTACTGATAGATGCTAGGTATATGTATCTAGGTGCCTCAGGGCCCGGACAGGACCTCTGGCACCTCTGAAAGACTCTTGAAACCTATGAAAGCCCCTAGCTGCCAACCCCTACTGACACAGCAGACATGGGTACTTGAGGGGTAAGAGTATGGGTTGTCCTCTGGACACCTGCGGGTTTACTCCTGTGGATCCCTCATTGAGAAGTACAAGTGTAAGTACTGCTATAGTTCTCAATTAGGTGTGCCAGTTGAACCCAAGCACAGGTGTAGGTGAGGGTCTAGGTACCCAAAATACAGACTCCTATCTATACTCCAGTAGTATCCATACTCATGCATATGCCTACCTACAGTAAGTATGTACATGAGCTCAATGAGCTTAATAAAAGTTACTACATCAGGGAAATTGGTGATTCCCAATTTGACACAATATCACACAATTCTCGCAGATTGTTAAGGATTCAATTTATTCGACCAATATGACTGATTTTTTGAGTCCCCCTCCCAATAGAAAATCATAAGTTGCACATGAGATCCAATTCAAATATTGCAAAGACAATCAAATTCAGATGAATCCTAGTCAAATTTACTACTAGTACTCATCATGTCGATCAGCAAGTTGATTCAGCGATAACAAAGGCATAGATGCAGCAGGCCTCTCCTGCACGAGGTCACTCCCATCAGCACATCTTGAAAAAGAGCAATAGGTATGTCGAGCTCAAGGTTTCTTTCTTCAGCTTGGCAACTAAGAAACTTTGCAATGGCTAGATTGAACAGTGCTGCAGGGCAGTAGGCAATGATCCATAGGGCAGACATTCGAGGTGCATTCAAAGTTGTTTATGGATTGCTCAAGATCCATACTGTTCTGCATCCTACAGTATCATGTGAGAAGATGATGTCTGGTATCCATCCTTAGTGCTACCCCATCCATATTGCAGGATGTAAGCTACACATTACAAGCAATCAGTATCAGAATGCTAGACTGCATTGTGCATTGATCACTCATGGTAGTAAGGAGGCAAAGAACTGTGGTGTCGTATTGAATCTTGATAAGAGAGTCGCTACTCCACTGCCATGAACAGGGAAGTACAAGTGGATACAACTTCCTCCTGCATTGGCTGAAAGATTATGACTGTGATACTCATTAGCATCTGGCAGGTGGGATTTTCAATAGACAATACTGATGATGTGATTTTTCACTGTGATCCACTAATTCTCCAAGGAAAGCTTGATTATGAAACATTTAATTAGTAAAAAAATCATCTGATGGCTAACAAACATACAGGCTTCAGATGACTCAGACTCATTAACTTCTGCATGATTCTTCTTTCTCAACTCTACAGCTTACATGATTGCAGCCTTCTCAGTTGGCATGAGTTGCACTTGGGACAGGGACTAGACATGGTTGATGAGGAAGAGATGCATAATTTCAAACTTGAGATCATGTGAGACCATAAATACATACACATATTTAACACAGTCACATTATTTATTTGTTGATGCCTATGTTGTCTTTGTTAGTGATTTCACAAAGTCCCTGTTAACCTTATTCTTATGATGTGTGTAGTGTCCACCTGATACCAAAATTTGGTGACATGGCCCAATGAGATTGGATGAATGAGACCAGTTTTTGGGGACTGTAACAGGTTTTGGTTGAACTCATACATAGATAGACATACAGGCACCAGCCCCTCTGAGGCATTCATAGATTAGTATAATTATATAGCATCCTATATCTAAGAATTTTCTCCAATTCTTTGGAAGTCTTTTTTGATGAGCAGATTAGCTAATATTGTAGAAGATTGGGTCTTTTTGGCACACATTCAATAAAACAGTACATGATTTTCTATGTCAGATATAATCTGCTCAAATTGTCCCCAATACAAAAAGGAGGTTTTTCCTGATGTATATTGAATATATATACCTGCAGTGAGTACATGAGCTACAGCTGCTGTTAGCTAAGTATGTACCATATGAATGTAAGGAACTAACCTCAATGAGCTTTATAGAAGTCACTGAGGGAGCAGATTCTTTCATGTGCAAGTGAAAATAGTGAGTAGCTCACATAACATACTGAACAGTGTATAGCGAGGTTAGAATATCTTATTGGCTACAGGCCATGTGATTACTCCAAAGCACGCACTGAACCCAAATCTACCAGTCCCTCTATCAACGATTGCCTCATGGAGGGCTGGTCACCAGTCTGAAATTTACTGATGCATGGCAATCGTCATCATCCTGCAGCTGGCCTGTAATTTCGGCAATGATATCAGCAAAGATCCTGTTCTCGTCTGTGGCTCGCTGCCACTTGACAGGTTTGCCGAGATATGACATGCATCATACTACACATGATGAAGTGAATTCAAGCTCAGGAAAATATTGTCATACAGGCTGTTCGTCACAGCCTGGCATCCTCTACACTTAGCATATACGATAACTTCGGCAAGACTACACTTCCCAGAGGCTAACGGCCGTCACCGAATGCGTTCAGGGATTCGGTTGGCTGGTGACCAAAAACTTCCGGTTAGTCATCAAACGTATATCACACAAACACAAGGCAGGCAAAGTACATCACCGTGCAGTAGTCTGTTGCCCTCCTGTCTTCTGTGCAAGACGATCTACAAGGGGTGCATCAGCCGCGTCCGCAGCAGCCACCTCTAACTTATTTGTTCCCTCTTTCCGCAGAGTCCGCACATCCCCTTTAAATCCAAGGTAGTAAACACGAGAAAGCTCTCCTCCAACCGACTCACGCTAATACGTATTTAGTTGATCGATTTTGTCATAAGGGTAAACAACACTCACAAAGTACAAGCTTAATGAATGAACGCTGGAAAACGCTGCAACTTTCAGAGGATATTCAACCACTGCCGTCTCACCCTCCAAGAGACTGATGTTTAAATGTGGTTGTACGCTTTCAGCGTCGCTGAAATCGATGATATTGGGGTAATTTGCGTAGACCCTGAGGTGGCGGGGTGTAGTTTCACCTCTGCCTGTACGTACGATGGCTGTGTGATGCAGACTCATCAAGTTTAAACGAGCATCAATCACCTAATTTGAGTATAATAGACTTAACGCGCACGTTCTGTGCGAAGGGCACATGTATGATCATCTGCGGAAAGTCATCATTAATCAAAGTGAATCTCTTCCCAGAGATGCAGCTCACTTGGTCGTCTACACCGGAATCTGCATATACAGTGGTATCCTCACGCTCACTCCATGGCTTTATAATGGCTTTGGCTTGCTCTGGTATTGCCAGGTTGAGCCCGTGTACGCTTGATAGCATTTCGTCAAAGTCAGATATCTTTGCTAAATATCCCACCGTGATAAGTCAGCAAGTGCTTACTTCGCTCTATCGATTAGCGGAAACAGGCTCGACAGGTCTGTCCCGCTGAGATCTGCAGCTAGGGAGTTATTTCCTTCCATTACCGGTACGTCGTGGTCAAAGTATCGACGAAACTTGAAATATCAAGGAACACTAACGCGTCGTCCTAAATCGACATAAACCAAATAGGGACAAACAACTTGGTACGCCTTCGAAATTTCTACTTTCAACGCGTGCAAAGCAAATGTACAGACTTACAAGAGCCAGTGCTTCTTCCGTGTTTCGACGGCCTCCAACTCATTCCCGCATATTTCTGTGTAGACCATCAACTTCGTCTCTGAGACAGTTATCCACAGACCCTTCAAATTCCTCGCTACCCAATGAATTGCCAGAATCACACTTACAAGATGTAGAGGCTATTGAGGAGGAAGAGAGCAATCCTGCTTTTCCGGACGTCATGAAACCAGACCCTATTCACGACGATCTTTTAGCTATGGATTTCCCTCCTACCAAACGCACACGACACGCGAACCGCGTCGTGATACGCAGCGTTTATGAACAGCACGTCAACCAGATGCTAGAAAGAGACGGTGCAGAAAAATCAGAGAATGGTGCCGAAGAAGACGATGCTGACGAGGAAGGCGAGGTCTCTCCACTCTCGAACCTTCCTCTAAGCCGGGAAGCTCTCGGCAAGCTGTACAAATTCCAGCTCATCTCTCGCCGCATCACACAACAGACAGGGAAGGGAAAAATACACCGGCAGTATGCGCTTGTTGTTGTGGGAAATGGAGATGGGTTAGTTGGTTATGGAGAGGGTAAGGACTGAAGAACTGCCAAGGGCATCCGACAAGGCATTCGCCGCTGCCGTTCGTAATATGGACTCTGTCGAACGCTTCGAGAAGCGTACAGTGTGGACGGATATAGAAACAAAGCTCGGTTCTACCCACATCATCCTACGGCCTCGTCCTGTTGGTTTTGGATTGCGTTGTAACCCGAACGTGCATCAGGTGCTCAAAGCAGCAGGCATCAAGGATGCCAGTGCAAAAGTATGGGGTAGCCGTAACCCACTCAACGTCATCAAAGCTCTATTCAGGGTGCTGCAGGCCGGGAATGCGCCGCTAGCTATGGGTGATGGTTTTGGAGGGAAGGCCAAGAAGCTTGATAAGGGGTCTGGACTGCGTAACAAGAGCGCTGTAGAACGGGATCGTGGGCGGAAGCTCTTGGATCTCAGGACATACTGATATGGATTGCCGTTAGCTTTCATTCCCGTGTTTTGGCGTCCCTGTTTTGTGGCATTGCTTTCCGCGGAATAAATTGATCGATTCCAGTGTGTTCTTTCACTCTGCATTCCTAAAGTCCAGCTGGTATGATCGAGACCCGAAGCGATTGTATGGTCAAAATAATGGTAACTTCAGGAAGGCACCCTTAGGCTGACGTTGGAAATTAAATTCTCTGCCATTGAGTGAGACAAACTGAAACCTCCATTGTCATTTTACCAAGTTCGAATGAAAGGTAACCTTATTTCGCCTTCTACATAGAATGCACTCAAGTTCAAGATATCACATTAATTTGCCAGATACGGGTTCAAAGGCAAGAAGAGTAAGACTGGCACTCCTGATGGAACATGCGTGCTTGGATTCGTGAATTGCATGAAATCTAAAAGCCGCATATCGATACATAAAATTTCGTGTACACCAGGTACTCATATATAATGCCTGGATGATTGATTGCACAACAGTAAATGAAGAAAAATCGAAATCGAAAGATATGGTAAAATGGGGTCAAAAATGCTATTGTCTCGGCATGAGAAATTGTGAGTAGGTTGGAAGAATGATGATGTGAATGGATGTGAATAAGAAGTATACAACTAGCCACCAACTGTAGCGAACAGTTTTCCTGGCGAAAACCAGTGACGTTTTTGACGAGGTCGTTGGGCCTGCTGCCGGCATTGTTCATGTATAGCGGTTACAACGGGTGGTGGCGGCTCGGGCATGCTGGGTGACGGCGACCGACGCCCCCATGTGGGACTCGAAGAAAAGAACGTAGAGAAGGGGAACGAGTCTGTGAAGGACCCCCTGCGTGAACGTGGCTGCTCTTCCGTCTGATGCGGCGGCGACGACGAGCGAGGGAATGAGAACCTCCATAGACTTGAGGACCACCTCTTCTCCTCGCCTGCAGTGGAACGGGGGATGGGGATTGGGGCTGAGGGTGGAGGAGTGGGAAGGGGGGCATCGACGGAGCGAAAGGCATTCATGACCATGGAGGGTACAAGGTGATTTATGGAGGGAGTGACTTGATCACGTCGCCAGGTGGCTAGAGTAGTGTCCTCAGCAACGTGATACGTGGGAGAGAGGTCGAGTTCCAGACCAACGACGCTGGAGGACGACGTGGAGGGGTATGATGATGGGGAATAGTCTGTTTCTGTGTAATCCCATGCGGAATCCATCCGCTGGCTTTCAGGAGTAGAATAAGCGCCTAAGTCAACCGAAGAAGGCATTCCAGAATTGGTCCAAGGCAAAGACAGCTTCGAAACTGAAGGAGGAGTTGGAAGGAAAAAACAGGAGGAGAACGGTGTAGAACTTTCAACGGCAGTGTGCATGGAGGAAAAGGTGGAACGTGTTTCACTGCTACCAGTGAAAAATATACGACGCCCGCACACTGTGTTGATTTTGAGACCCTTGGCGGGAATGGGTGTGGGCCTACTGCACATCATACCCTCAGGAGTGGCGGGAACGGAAGGTAACGAGCTGGAATCAGGGGATTGGGGAGAGTATGTTGATGGTGGAGTACGAGGGGACTCGTAGATTTTGAGCGGCTCAATCAGAGACGGTGATGGCGACCGAATAGAGGATTCGATGGCCCAGGTCGCATTGCACGACGAATATTGCTCCCAGGCCGGATTTTGTACAGAAAGCCTCGTAAAGTCCATCTCCGCATCCGAATCTTTGCTCCAAAAGGACTTGAGCTCGTCTTGAGCTTCAACAGGTTCTTCGTGATTGGAGGAGTCACTATCGCTCTCAAGGTCGACATCAATCTCCCAAGCACAACGGGCCATGCTGCCTTCGAATATCACGCCCTCGGCGTAGAAGTGTTCCACATCCTGAATCGCCACGCGAACCTCTGCAAGCGTAAGGCGGTGCCTCCAATCCACTTCCAACATGCGGCAAAGAATCTCGTTCACTTCAGGTGAAATGGGGAGGACCGTCGGCAAAAAGTTAGCCGGGTCCTGCAAATATGCTTGGAACGTGGGGTCCGATGATGACGCCGACTTCCACGGATTCCGACCGGTTGCAAGATTAAGGAGAATTATTGCTAATGACCAAATGTCGTTGAATAGGGGTGAATACGAGCCTGTCGGAGCGAATTCTCCTCCTTGACATTCTAAAATAGAGATGAGTATACGCGACCATTGGAGCGGCAGAATAAATACCTGGACTCATATGATATACGCTACCCGTCCTAAACTCCTCGCTAAACCTATCAGTCGTGGCAAGACCGAAATCGGTGATCGCAACTCGCATGCCACCGTCGAAGCACAGGACATTCTCTGGCTTGAGATCACGATGGTATATGCCAAGCGAATGGCAGTACTCAACAGCGTCGAGGAGCTGTAGAAAGATATGTTTGATAAGGTGGTCATGACCAAGATAGCGGCAGTTGTGTAATATCTGGGAGAAAAGGTCGCCGTCGCTAGCATAATCCATAATAATGTAGGTGTAGTTGCCCTCCTCGACCACCCTATGCAGTGTGACGACATTCGGATGCGCTGAAGCGAGGCGGTGAAGAGCTATCTCACGGATGTGGAGCTGGCGCTGGCGCGTGCTGTGGTGGATGTGGGAGCTTATGAGACACTTGACGGCGTAGGAGGTGAGTAGGGGATCACGGGTGTCAACGGCACGATAGACGACACCATAACCACCAACACCCAGGACTTCTACGAGCTCTATGGTATTGTTATCGATGACAGTGCCGAGAGCGGGGGGAGGAGGGGTGTTCGCAGAAGAGGATTGCTTGGACGGCATCCTGGCCGAAGTCACTTCTGGGAGAGTGGTGATGAGGGAGGAGGAAAGTCCTAATGGACTTGAATGGAAAGGCCTGTGGCGAGGGACGTTACGGAGAGGGAGGTAAACGGGAGAGGCGAAGAGTAATGATAGATGAGCGGCAGTTTAAATGGGTGACGTCTGTTTGGGGCGTGTTAAGCATGAGGCCGCGCCTGGTTTGGTGAGCGTGATAGATAAATGGGGCGCAACGTTGAGATCCCCCTGCGATAATGTCATTATTGGCTTTTCTACGGTTCAGACATAACCCGAGCTGTATAACATTTCATTTTGCTTATGTTTCGGGTACCCCTAAATGGAAAAGGCGGCGAGCCCCATTACCGCATTGAGAGATAAAGTGATCGATTCCGGTCTGACACGGCTTTCCAAAGAGGAGTTACTTGCTTAGGAATCCGAGGGCGGCGGCCATCAGTCAGTGACAGACTGTAGCAGATCGACCTTTGACTGACACAACTCTGTTAGACTCGCATTCTATAAGAAATTTCCGAATCGTACCAATGATTCATGGTGCAACAGGGCGGGGGGAGGTGACTGCCGCGGATGTAGAAATACCACAGGGCTGAGGGATTGGATGATGTGTGCTTACCAATGCCCGAAAAATGGGGGTATGACATCGGGAGACGATCATTACAGATTCGTTTTGACATAATACATGTGATTTGGGGTTAGCTGCGGCTACAGCACGACAAAGTGCTGCGGTTTAGTATCCAGACGTTCTAAACGTTGCGATTAGTGGTGGATAGCCTTTGTTAATCGAGGGTTGAAACATTGCAAAGTCGGCCAACTTGTTCGTGTTGTAGCACATTGATATCGCGTGCAGTCCAAGACTAGTAAAAGCACGTGAGTAGAACGCGACGCGTTGTGGCAAATCGGAACATCGGAGTTCTAATAAACACGCATCATTTAAAGAGAGTTTACCGAACACGCCTGTACAACTTGTTGTCTTACATTTTCTAGCCGTCACATTCAACCACGCGCATCAAGCGACTCCCAGCCTACACTGCCTACACTGCCTCCTTAGCGCACTTTTTTCCATTGCACGATTCACAGCATTCTCTTCGCCTCGTTGCTCATTCAAATATCAATGTCCGTTCGCTCCTTCACAGTCTTCCAGGACACCCCAACCGAGATTCAGAAGATCAGACATGTTAGCGATAAAAATCTCGTGACAACAACAGCTGCGGATGCTGCTGCCACATTGCTATCAACCCTTGCCGCTATCGAGAAGGAGAACCTTCATCCGCTTACGGGTGAACGCGCGGCCCAAACTACCACAAATGCATCCAAGAAGCGCAAGACAGCAGTTTTGGTAACAAAAGTGGTGGTTCCTCCGCCGTCTTCCAAGAAGCAGAAAGAACTCAAGTCGGACTCAAAGAAACTGCGCAAATCTGCCAGTGGCAATGCAAATAGAAGCGATGGGCGTAAAAAAATTCCTAGAGGGTCACGCCCTGTACGCAAGGCTTCCCCTTTGCCAAGAGTTGACGAAGAACAAGAGCTTTCAAGTGCAACTCCAAGTCAGCGAGATCCCGCTCGTCTTATTATTTCCCAGGCCAAGATAGATTCCAAGTGTTACGAGCTTACTGTCTCACCATTGGCAGATGTCTCTGAAGCGTATGACACCGCTACGGAAACTTCGGATCAAGAGTCTGTGTTTGACAAAGTTCGTGTATCCTTTTCTGTTTAACATCATCAATTGACCTTGGTTTCAGAAACAGTCTGTTGAACCGGAACTTCGCCATTACTTCTCTCCCGCAATATCGCACGCCTCGTTACCATCTGACCAAGCGGATGCTACTCCTCTTGCTTCAAGGGCCGCTTCGATACCGAATTATCTACTCCAGAGCGCAGACAAATTTGCTCGGCATTTACCTTTTCATCTCCGTCGCCTTCCTCGAAACGTTTTAAAGAAGCTTGGTCATCCCCAAACAACAAGACAAACGCCTCCCATTCAGAATCATAATATCTGACATATACCCCGTCGTGAGCCCTTTGAGCTACTACTATATTGACACCTGCACACGTACAATTTACTATCACATCTTACCCCAATCTCATGTTCACATCCACCACCAACCTTCTTGTCAATAGCATTTTTTTCTTCCTATTTATACATTCCATCATCGCCGACATTATACTTGGGTCACATCGGGTCACATCTCGCTTGCTATGCTTCGGTCTGGTTCACTCGCTTTGGTTTGCTCGTTGCTTTGTGCCCCCAGAGTATCCGCATTGTTGGACTCCTCAAGCATTTATGTATTACGCATCTCGCATCAATCTATCTTCAATTCAAGAGATTGCCGAAGAGTCTCGATACGTCTCGTTTCACTTGAATTTAGTTGTGTGCACACTACGAGCTCACTGAATGTCTTCAGATGTTACTCAGACCAGAACGACTCCTTAGCGAGTTATTGGTCATGATGACAATTATCTGCATCTCGCCAATATCTCACAACTCTCAACATTGACTTGGCTGAGCGATAGGCATATCAGGAGCCCCGCATATATTTTTCATCTATCGATAGAGCTGATGGCGGGAGTTTAGAAATGTGAGCGATATGCATGGAAAGCGTGCAGTCAGAGAACTGCGAGTTGTGGGCAACGAATGCGCCCTCCCACCACTTGAGCTTGCCATGGGTTTCATCAATAGTATCATCCAAAACCTCGAAGTCACTCATGAACTCAATCTCACGCTCACCAAGCAGCTCATTACCGTGAGTATCCCCAATGATTGCGGATTCAATCTTTGATTTGTTTACGTAACCTTCTCCATAGAACAATGACTTACTGCCTGTCGAGTCAGAGACACGCACATGGCACGGATCCAACTACGTTGCCTTCTGGATGGCCGACATGTTTAATATAAACATATGGGGGATTGTATCGTACGCCCACCGTCACCATTATGATATCATTTGCCTGTGTTGAATGAAGTTTCCAAGCTCCATAATTCCAACTAGGAGTGTAGTGGTGGCAAGCCCGGATATGCGTTGGCCAGGTTACGGCATTGCCACAGCGTTCCTTGTTCTGAAATGCGCGTCCTGGGGCCATCATCCATGTGACGTTCCCAATTGTGAACTGCACGAGTTTGTGGATGTTTTAGAGCCTGCGGTGCGTCTTTAATGGTGCTGATATGGCATGGTACGCGTTCCTGCCTTCACACCGATGCGTGAGCATAGCATATGGTGTGGTGTTCAAGCTAGCATCGGTGGTTCATGTTCGTAATGCTCAGGGCGATGTGGCTTAGCATTAACGCCCTCCGTGCGTTGCATTCCACGTTTTCTGTTTGTACTCAGCTGAGGCTGGGCAGTACCAAATTCGATGCCAGCATCTTGTGGAACGGATACTCGAGATTTCCTGTGCTTCTTCTTCTTTTAGCTCATTTCGCTGCCGGTTGTGGTTCCCGGTGCACAAGGTGTAAGTGTGCCCATCCCTTCTTACGAATGTGGTCATGGAGCGTCCTTCCTCAGCCACCACCTCTTGCTCGTGATATCCATCCCAATGCCTACAGCCTCATTCACATTCCTCATATGGTGCATCGTGAAAGCTCACGGAATCGGTCCGATTGTACACCAACATGCCATATTGCACGGATCAAAGCTAAGCTGGGCCATGGTAGTTACTAGTCAGTTCCATGTCATGCATCGCTAACTAGGTGACGCTTGTCACGAACGCACTGGAGATCCCCTCGCGCGCTCGCACCCCATCGGCCGCGCTATACCCACAACTATCCACATGTCCTCTCACTGCATCATTTATGTTAGGTCCGAATCCTCGCCCGCTGGTCATCGCAGGTAACAGTGTACGGGACAACCATCTGGTCTCCCATGGAACTTTTGGGAAATTCCTTGAATGACAATCCGTCGAAAGCGACGATATTGGGGGTGTTGTTGCGGTATCCCAGGAGCTGTGCTTATATCTGACGCGCTTTGGCCGCGCCACTTCACGTCTTCCTTTTTGCAAGCATTGTTTATGGATCTTGGCATTATTCGTGATTGCGCAGGTAAACTCGCTTCTTATTTTCATGTTTGGTTGCGATTCTGATGCTTCCTCTCCCAGATGAGGTGCGTCAAATATAACATGTGGAACGCGGTTCCTAAGACTGGTTTTCAAGCCCGGAACTCGGCGTCGGTAGGATGCGATCTGACCGCACTGTTCCCTCGTTTCATCGCTGCATGAGCAGAACTTCCGACGGGGCTGGTATATCGCTGCTACCATTTGTCTCGCCATGTGTCCATGGAGCATGCATGATGAAGAATAGTAACGGATTTACTTCTTACCTCTCTGCACATAGCATGTTCCAGAGCTCCATAGCTGGGGTCATGGTGTGTAGGCAATTCTGCTTTCTGTGATGATTCATTTCAGCGTTTCAAGCTGAGACAAACAGCAGAACCTAAGGCCTAAGGTTTGGATCTGGTTGGGTCAGGTAGGGATACAGTTGTAGTTCAGGCAGCTATGGCAACCGGCCATGGGGTTTTGCTGATGGGCCGCCACCCCGTCCCGAGCATACACCCAGACTAAGTCACAGACACAGACCTGGTGTTTGCGTAGACTTTTACCCAGACCGGCCATTTCAGACTCGTCCTCCTGGAGACGGTGTATACTCTGCAACCAGTGTTTGCTGTGATTTGGCAGAACTATGAAGTCTGTGGCTCGCTATTGTGTAAACACAATTTTCGTGCTACTTTCTGCTACTTTCTGTGGAAAAATGTGATTTACTGACGCCTCTTTTCATTTGAGAATAACTTCGCCATCTCTTCAAATATATTCACTCCATGGTCATCAAGAACATGGACGGTCTTGTCAAACCGTCTGGCCTTGCGATATCTCTTCGTTGCTTGCTCGAACTCTTGAGCATTGAAATAGGCCTCAGCGGCTTTAAGATCATCTCCTGCTCGAACGTAGCAATCCGCCGAGTTGCGATAATACTGGAGCTTTTGATTTCCTGCCTCAGTCGCCCCACAATCAGTAAAGGCATCGGCAGCCACGTTAAAGGCTTTTTTTTGGTCGCTGAGTGAGGCCACTCTGACACTAGAACGTGCGACTTCTCGCAGTCGATATGCTTCACAGACCTTCACTTCACGACGAAGCTTAGCACGCTTGAAGCAGTGGATAGCCTGCGAGTAGCTCTTGTGCGAGAATAGTGAGTGCCCGAAGGATGCCCATTCTTCCGCAGTCGAGGAGACGGCTAGATGAGGGACATTGGTGCCAGGGGTACAATTCTGGACCTGATTGCGAGACGTCCAGAATGTCTGAAGGGAAAGGATTGTCAAATCAAGTTACGCCGACACACTGCAAACGTACACGCATCGGGTCTGATTTATCAGATTTATCAACGATCCACACGTTCTTCCTTGCTCGAGTGATCCCCACATAGAGAAATTTGAGCTAATAAAAGTAAGCCGGAGTATATTTCGAAGATCGGTGTATCTACCTCGCTGCAAACCCCAGCGTATCGCGCCTTGTCACGATTGAATTTCGTATGTCCTCGACTGTCTACCACATCGAGAACTACGCGCCATCGTAACTGATCTACAACAGAATCCTCGAAAAAGTTGTACAACAATACCTGACCGAAGTCAGACATCCATCAGATAGCAAACTTAGCCTTCTCACATCATTGAATTCCAGGCCTTTGCTCTCGTTAAGGGTCCTGCACACATATGTGAACATGAAAACACAGAGTAAAGGTAGTCTTAATACAACTCACATAATCAGTCCAATTTCACCAACTTGGTCTCGTAACTTTTGACGTGCTGCATCGTCACGCACGAGAATGCCTAGATGCCTTGTCAGTGAATGAATGAGGCCTCTAACCAATTACTTGACATTGCTGGGCTCCGAACTCAATGCGACTACCGCTGGAAGAATCCTCAGAAGGAAAGGAGGGATACCGTCCAGGCATACTTACCTCGCCCCAAACAAGAATTGTTCATAACGAACAGTGTCTTTATCCCAACCGGTAAAAAATACAGGCTTCAACCCGTCAACCACCCCTTTTTCTGGCTGAAGTTTATCGATTGTGTCGGGCCAAAATTTTGTGATGAGTTCGATCACAGAGTGCGCGCAGTTGACGATGCCACCGTGCGATCTGTAGTTAGTCGCCAATTGAAATGTCGTAGGTTGATGAAGACATGGTCCAGCGGAATTGGCCGAGATATTCCGCTGCTGCTCTGAGGTATCAATTCAGGCCCGAGCTAATTTACTATCTGCTGACCTCCTCATTGTAGAGATATGCTTTCAGATCATCGAACCTGAAGGAACTCCCTGCAGAGATTGTCTGTGCGGTGTCCCCAGTCCAGAATAAACCGTCTGGATTCCTGCACAATTGCCTCAACACTTTAACAGAAAGTTATAAAGGGATTTCTGTCAACGAATGATGGAGCGGCTACTTACAGAGTGCGTCGATCAGAAGGTTGTCTTGTGCTTCGTCGACATATCTAGTGCAGGTGGTCAGTGGCAAGATGCATCGGTGGGGATAACACATACAGATAATCGACCTGCTGACCGGGGAACCCCCGGCCTTGCAGGACTTTGAGTATCGCGTGCGTGCTGTTTAGGCATATATCGTGACATTACGTAGATGAGAAGAGAGAAAAGGTCGTACCGGTCTGCAACATCATGATGACGTCGCTGCCTCTTGATTTTCGTATAATGCTCGAAGATATCATACAGGATTTTCCTCTGACTCGCAAAATTTGGGTTAGAACGATGAGGAAGACAAAGGTAGTGTGGGCGATCGAGAACTCCTTCAGGACAGTTCAGTGCGTGTCCGGAGCCTTTAACCACACCTGTATGTATATTCAGGAATTGTCAGTATCAAGGTAATGCAAATAGTACACACCCATGAATTCGCTGAAAACCAACCACGGGTCTGATGGGGCAGTGTCAGTACTTCATTGTCATCACAAGATAAAAGAAACTACTGAGGTTCTTAGTGAGGTTCTGCGAAAAATGAGGCCAGTACTGATTTGCGAATACGTCATAGGTGACGAGACTGTCATGCGCCTCAGCATTGTTAATATTGAAGAAAAGCCCTCGGACGTCCTTGCTCAAGATATCTGCTGCGATCATCTTCACCAGCTATATAAATGATTAGCTCGAGAACTGTCCGGATGACGGATTGGGACGTACTCGATCGAAAGATACAAAAAGAGGAAAGTGCTGATCCTCAAGTTCGCTGTATTTCATGGGTATATTCTTCTGTGATTCGGGCAGGTCGTCAAGATCAACAAGGCCCTCCTGAACACTTTTTGTCTTCACTCTTGCAAGTTCCTGTAGGGTATAGCCTGCTAACGCCAGAGATTCGAGAAGCTTTGTGTAATACTCTTCCACTTTCGTGGCGAGCACTCCGGATTTGGTGACGAAGATTTGGCGTGGCTTCGGCATGTCACTCATCTCCCAAGCTCGCTGAATGTCGAGAATCTTGAACAGCATCGTTGTGGTTTTTCTAATCGGGTGTGATAAATAAGCTACTCATATCAGCGGCAGGACGCCTACCCCGTGCCGCTGCGACCCAAAACGTAACATGACGTGGTACACTCAACAATCTTTTTTTCTTCAGGTCTGAACCAACATCCATCAGTAAATTTATCTCATTGGGGCAGAAGTAACTCGCGTAAGTATAAAGACGTGCTGTACATCTTGGTTTGCGATGAGACCTTTTTGCAAAGATGAGAAGAGGTGGCGAGCCGACTACATGATTACTCACTATGCAGGAACGCCTAAAAGACAAGGTTATCAAGTCAATATTCACATGCCTATAGACCGTATTTATAAGCTTACTTGCGAGAATGTGACATATTTCTCCAAACTAGGAAATCGTTAGATGGAAACCAGTTTGTACAAGGATAGCGAAAATTCATACACAAGCAAAGAGTGAAGCTATGTCATGGATCAATGACAGCACAAACGACAACTGAAAAACTCAACGTAGTCCATGTCCTTGTTACTAAGATTAAGTAGGCTTCCTGGACATTCTGGCTCTGGTTCAGCTGATGGGAATGATGCAGGCAGAATCGCTCCGTCTGTAGAAAGGACTGGCTTATTCTGAAAGATACATCTGTGCCAACAATCATTCGCTGAATTGCATCAAGAGCTGAAGAATGTCCTCACCTTTTACGATATTCTTCGCCCTTGCGTGCGAGATGGTTACCCAAGGCATCCCATATTCTACCAATCCGATCATGCGTATAAATGCCGTATACCTTGATTACTGGAGTTCATATGAGTGCTAATGGCGGACAGATGTAATCGCTCTTGATAGCTCACCTTGTGTTTCGGACTGTCAAGACTCCAGTCTCAGTACCATGCTCGATATTGATGTTAGGACCTACCTTTCCATCCTGGTCAGGGACACAATCGATCTGGTACTGTGAGAAAAGGTCGGTACATCTTCTGCTCTGAGCGACATGTGTGAAATTACCCTTACTACTAATCGTAGGCCACTGGTCATCTTGGCATAGTAGATAGGTATACCTGCACCCGGCCCATTAAGTTGCTTGTTGTTATCATCAGAGAAGTGACCCTTCGATAGTTGTCTGTGGCAATGATAAGATCATTGCAGCGAAATTCATCAGAAGACAGACTTAATCTGCTTGAAGATGATCTTGAATATCTCCTTATTTGCTCTACGGAATTCAAGCAACTTTTTGTAAGCCTCCGTAGATATGAGGATTTGCCACGCTCCGAACTCATCCGCATTGTCAAAGTAAAGCGCAGACTCCATAGGCTGCACCATTTGGTACGTATTGGGTTGGTCGGTTGGGCTCTCGACATCCTCGGTTAACGAAACTTCAGGCGCAACATCTTTGGCAGACTCTTCCACATTTGGGAGGAGTGAGGCTTTGATGTCGC